TTGCCGGCACCCTGACCAACAAGATGGCGCCTGCCCTGCGCAAGGTCTACGATCAGATGCCCGAGCCCCGCTGGGTCGTCTCCATGGGAAGGTCAGCCCACACCCTGCTCGTCTGTGAATGTGTGAATGTGTCTGTGTGAACAAGAGAGAGATTGTGTGTCAGGATGTGTGCCCATATTTTTAACACGTAGTCTTGCTTGCCACAGTGTGCTTGTTCCTTTCCGTATGCACCACCTTCCATTCTCACCAAGCCCACCCCCCTCCCTCTTCATCACCTGTCCTCATCGTCACTGCACGACAGCTGCGCCAACGGCGGCGGGTACTACCACTACTCGTATGCGGTTGTGCGCGGGTGCGACCGGATTGTGCCCGTGGACATTTACGTGCCCGGGTGCCCGCCCACCGCCGAGGCGCTGCTGTACGGGCTCTTGCAGCTGCAGAAGAAGATCAAGCGCGACAAGTCCCTCCAGATGTGGTACCGCAAGTAGACTTGCTGTGCTGCTGCGGTGGAGCTGGTAATGATGGTGGTGTTGATGGTGACGACGACGACGACGACGATGATGATGATGATGGTGGTGGTGCTGATGGTGATGGTGTGCTGTGAGGCTCACGTGTGATGCTCGCGTGTGGTGGTTTGCTTGTCGTTGTGGTATTCAGTGTTGTGGAATGGTGATGGTCGTGTACTTGTTGAACTGTGTTTTGGCTTGCTTTGCCCCTTCCCCTTCCCCTTCCCCTCCTCTCCTTACTGTCTTGTTTGGCTTTGTGTCGTTGTTTTCATTTTGCTCGCGCTTGCTTCGACTCGGTGTTCATGTGCATATCTGGTTGCATAAACACTGAACTCCTCTGCTCTGTGCGACGCGTGACCTGTGACGTGTGCTGCTTGGAGATAAAGGGAGGCAGTTTGCGAGGAGTGAGTGAGTGAATGCGAGAACACACACACACACACACACACACACACACACACACACACACACACACACACACACACACACACACACACACACAAGTCACATTGCCTTGTGTGTCCTATTTTTAGGACACTTGGAAACGGTTTCTCCAACTCACACAACAAGCACCAAAAAGATGACGGTGGTGACGCTGCTGGTGTCTGGCTCGACGGCCAAGGTGCACGCAGAGAAGCGCTTCAACAAGAGCGACACGCTCGGCGATGTCAAGGTGAGAACCTGTGTTGTATGTTTGTGTGTGTGTGTGTGTGTATGTGTATGTGTGTGTGTGTAGTGTGTGTGTAGTGTGTGTGTGTGTGTGTGTGTAGTGTGTGTGTCTGTTTGTCTGTCTGTGTTTCTGTGTCTGTGCCTGTGTGTCTGCGTGTCTGTGTCTGTGCCTGTGTGTGTGTGTGTGTGTTTCTCTGTTTCCGTGTTTCTGTGTCTGTGTCTGTCTCCCTGTGTGTCTGTGACACGAAGCACTCACCCCATGTGCGCTGTGTGTTGTGTGCCTGTGGTTCCTCGACCGTTTGCTTGCGATGTTGCCTGGACAGGGAAAGCTGGAGCTTGTGGTCGGCATCCCTGCAGCCTCGATGCGGCTGAAGCTCAAGGATGAGACTGGAAACAATGTGTGCACCATGGAGGGTGATGACACCATGCTCGGCGCCTTTCCCGTCCGCGACTTCATGAGCCTCTTCGTAAGTGCCATCGAGATTGTGCTGCCGCGATGTCAGGCCAGTGGACAAATGTCAGGCACCGCGGGCATCGCTTCAAAGACACACACACATTCACAAACCCACACACTCACACACATTCGCATATTCACACACACACATACACACACATACACACACATACACACACAAACACACACACGATCGCCTTTCTCCTTCCTTTTGACAATCACTCGCCAGGTTGAGAACACAGACCCGAGTGCGACCGTGGGTGAGTTTGACGATGTGTCCAAGGTGAAGAAGTTTGAGCTGACGGAGGAAGAGTACGAGACGCGTCGCGGCACCGTCCGCGAGTTCAAAGAGAAGATGAAGCTTGGTCGCTTCGACCCGGAATACCAGAAACAGGTGCGCGTGCGAGTGTGTGTGTGTGTGTGTCTGTGTGTTGTGTGTGTGTCTGTGTCTGTGTCTGTGTCTGTGTCTGTGTCTGTGTCTGTGTCTGTGTCTGTGTGCGTCTGTGTGCATCTATCCAGGCGATCGGCCCTGAGTGCCTACTGCCTCGGTTGTTGTCTGTCTACATTCCCGCCACCATCCACACACGAGCACGAGTGCACTTGATATTTTGAACGCGCTCACCCACCCGCCCCCCTCACCGTCACCCTCGCCCTCTTTTGTCTCATCACCACGATCAGCTTGAAGAGGCGCAGAAAGAGGAGGAGGATATGGTGAAGGCGATGAAGGTTGGCGACCGATGCGAGTGCGACACCACAAAGGGCACGCAGCGCGGCACCGTGCGGTTCATCGGTGTGTTGGAGCATCACCTGCTGTCATGTTCGCTGTCGTTGTTGTTGTTGTTGTTGTTGTTGTTGTTGTTGTTGTTGTTGTTGTTGTTGTTGTTGTTGCTGTTGTTGTTGTTGTTGTTGTTGTTGTTGTTGTTGTTGTTGTTGTTGTTGTTGTTGTTGTTGTTGTTGTTGTTGTTGCTGTTGTTGTTGTTGTTGTTGTTGTTGTTGCTGCTGTTAGCGAGGATACGGCACGCCAAACGCGACTGCTGCATCAGCTCACACATGCACACACACACACACACGCACACACGTTTAGGGCCGACGGAGTTCAAGGAGGGCTTGTGGATTGGCGTGCAGCTGGACGAGCCGTTTGGAAAGAATGACGGAAGGTGTGTGGTTCACGTGCATTTAATGGTTCCACATGGAAACAAATCAATCAACATCACACGCCGCCCCCCCCCAATCAACTTGCTAAGCAAACACAAGAACAGAAACCAAAGAACGCTCCTCTCCTTACCATCACCATCACCATCACCACCACCATCACCATCAAGCAGCCGCAACGTACTCACACTCATGCGCACCCATCCACCACCACCACCACGACGACGACGACAACAACAACAACAACAACAACTTGTCAACACCATAACCACCACCATGACCATCATCACCACCACCACGAGTGCAGCGTGAAGGGTGTGCGGTATTTCTCGTGCCCGCCCAAGTACGGCGCGTTCCTCAAGCCAAAGGCCGTGCGTGTCGGCGACTACCCCGAAGAGGACATTGGCCTGAGCAGTGACGACGAGTTGTAGTCAACGGCATCTGCGTCGCCCTCAAAGGGAAAGTACCCCGTGTTGGCCCACTCATCAGGGTCATCCAACACAAGCTGCTTGTCCTCCTTGCTCTGATCAAACTGCAGCAGAAACTTTTGAAGCTTAAAGTGCCGGTGTGCATAGTAAACAGCCATGCCCAGTGCCATCCCGCCAAGCAGCGCGCCCACCACAATGCCGGCAATCTTGACCTTCTTGTCCCCGCTGACGGCGTTGGTGCACAGCTCGCCGTTCTTGTCGACCTCGCACGCTGCCCTGACCAGCCGCTCGCGCTTGTCCCCGTTGTCCGTCTGCCCGTCAATGCACTCCACGCGATAGTTTTTCCTTTTGTGGTTCCAAGGGGGGGGGGAGATTGTAGGGGGGTTGCGTTTCGTGTTGAGAAGGGGGAGCAATGGTTGCGTGAGGGGGGTGAGCATTATGCTGAGGCAAGCCAGCGTCAGTGCCGGAACAACAACAAAGCAAGCCGGTTTAGTAAAGAAGCACGCTTCGCCTACACGCACTTGCATGCACACACGCACACAAATGCACGCACACACACACACACACACACGCACTTGCATGCACACAAATGCACACACACACGTGCACAAACAAAAGACGCACCCTTCCAGGCGCTGCATCAGCTCGTGGATGGACTTATCCTGTTGACAGGCGCGTCGCCGTACCACCCACACGTGCACGGAGCACTTGTCACAATCGCGGCCCTTGCCATCGCACCGGGTGCACGGCGCAATCTGGCTCACCTCGTGCGCAAGGATGCTGTCTGTGCGGAACGCGTGCTCGCAGCCATCCCTGTAATTGAGCAGGATGTGGAACGCCTCCTTGAAGGAGTTTGCAAACCAGTCCGACGCCTGCATCCAAAACTCCCCCTGCGGCCCGTCCGTGAACGAGCAGCACTGGTGGTTGAACCCTTGCTCCGTCGGGAGGATGGGTGTGTCTGAGTCGTCGCCCGCTGCACCAGGGCAAAACCTGAGGTCGTCCAAGATGTACCCGACATGGGTCAGCTCCAGCGCAACGCCGATTGGCTCCTCGTTTCCGTCTTCCCCGGTGATCACCCTGACGGCGTCGCGCAGCGCGGAGCTGATGGACGTGGATGTTCGCTCCGAGAGGTCCAGGCCAGACCACAGCACGCCGGGCGTGCCTTCCGTGGTCTCGGGTGGCATGAGCTGCAGCAACGGCTCGAACTTAAACCCATCCGAGCGGACGCTGGCATTGAATGCCGCCCACGCCTGGAAGCAATCCACTGTCGTTGACGCGGACATGCGCACGTTTTGCCGGATCCAGTCAAAGCAGCGGCCCATGAAGATCTCGTGGATGAACCGCGTCGTTCCGTTGCACGTACCATTCGCCCCTCCGTTGTACAAGCACTCAAACGTGTCGGTCGTGTGCTCGCGCCGACCGCGCGCGTGGTGTGTCATAGATGTCGGCTTTGCATGTGCAACTTGGGGAACGCAGCACAGCACCGTCACAGCGACGGCCACTGCAGCCACAAATGCCACCATCGAGACGGAACACCGACAACTGCACTGGTGCTCCCGCGCACCACTGGACCGTCGTCGCTGATGCGACGCCGCAGGCGTGTGCATGGCTTGTGTGTGTGTGTGTGTGTGTGTGTGTGTGTGTGTGTGTTTGTTTGGGTTGTCGTGGGTGGGTGGTGTGGCTGCGTGGACTCGCCCTGGCTGGCTTTCTATCGGCTGTGCTGTGTTGAGAGTGGACCGCAGCTTGTGCTGTCGCAAACCGTAAAGCCGCAGCGCTGTTGTATGGTACGGGCCCATCCGAAGGAGAATTATTATTTTTTCCTGTTCAGCGAGAGAGAGGGTGAGCAGCAGAGATGAGAACGAGCGCGGCGTGCTTGTGGTGCTTCTGCTTGCTGTGCTGTGTGTGGGTGGGTGGTGTGTCCTCCTCCACGTACCCGCTGTTGGTGTGCGTGCAAAGGGATGTGACAATGTTTCCCTACTCACCACTGTGACTTCACACATACACACATGTACACATACACACACACAGCACACGCAGCACACAGCACCACAACTCAGCAACTTGCACACACAGAAACACAGATCATGTCGCGGCTCAAAGACAAGCACCTCGAGTTCAAGACCAGCAAGGAGGTGCATCCCTGCTCTTGTGTGTGTATGTATGTATTGTGTGTGTGTGTGTGTGTCCCTGATGTCTTTGTGCACCTGTTTGTGTTTGTGTGTGTGAACGAGTGCGCTGGCTCATTCCGTGTACTGTCCTCGCTCGTGTGTTGTCGTTCATCGACGGTGTCAGGTCGAGGTTGTGCCCACTTTTGATGCGCTCGGTCTGCGCGAGGACCTTCTGCGCGGCATCTACGCATATGGCTTTGAGCGCCCATCTGCTATCCAGCAGCGTGCCATCAAGCCAATCACCAAGGGCCGCGACGTCATTGCCCAGTGCGTTTGTGTGTGTGTGTGTGTGTGTGTGTGTGTGTGTGCGCGCGCGCGCGTGTGTGCGTGTGTGCACATGTGTGCATGCACCTGCATGCGCGTGAGAATTCGCTTTGCCGCATGTACAACTGTGAACACGCACACGTGTGCGCGCGCTTGTGCGTGCGCTTGTGCGTGCGATTGCATGACCCTCACAGCCCACATGATTGCTCCCCCCCCCCTTCCATGTGCCTCAATAACACGAACAATGACAACCCCACAGGGCCCAGTCTGGTACGGGTAAGACGGCCACGTTCTCCATCTCCGCGCTGCAGGCCATCGACACCACAACAAGGGAGACGCAGGTGCTGGTGCTCTCGCCCACGCGCGAGCTTGCCGTGCAGATCCAGAAGGTTGTGCTTGCACTCGGTGACTACATGAGCGTCCAGTGCCACGCGTGCATTGGCGGCCAGAGCATTGGCGAGGACATTCGCAAGCTCGACTATGGCCAGCACATTGTGTCCGGTACCCCTGGTCGCGTCTTTGACATGATCCAGCGCCGCAACCTCCGCACGCGCTCCATCAAGATGCTCATCCTCGATGAGGCCGACGAGATGCTCAACGAAGGTGTGTGTACGTGTGTATGTGTGTGTGTGTGTGTGTGCGCGTGCGTGTGTGTGAAAATGAGTGTGTATTTTTGTATGTGTCAATGTGTGCACATGTGCGTGCGTGTGCGCGTGTGTGTGTGTGTGTGCACCTGTGCCAGTACAAGGGCTCGCTTTGCTTCACTTCATTCTCTCACTTGCGCACAACCTCTCCCATCACCACCACCTCCACCACCTGCACCACCATCGCACAGGCTTCAAGGAGCAGATTTACGACATCTACCGCTATCTCCCGCCAGCAACGCAGGTTGTGCTGGTCAGCGCCACCCTGCCGCATGAGGTGCTCGAGATGACAACCAAGTTCATGACAGACCCCGTCCGCGTCCTCGTCAAGCGGTTAGTGCTCCCTCTTTCGCTACTGTGACCGCTACTGTGACTGTGCTCGTGACTGTGACTGTGACCACCACCAACGCTGCCGTCATCACCGCCAATATCATTGTTGTGTCGCGCCCGTTGTTGCGCGCAAGCGTCCTCCCCCCTTATCCCTCACACCTCTCCCCTTCCTCCCTTAATGACCATGTGCTGTGTTGGCCAGTGATGAGCTGACGCTTGAAGGCATCAAGCAGTTTTTCGTTGCCGTTGAGCGCGAAGAATGGAAGTTTGACACACTCTGCGACCTCTACGACACACTCACCATCACACAGGTCCGCATTCCGGCATGTGTCTGTGTCTGTGTGATGGTGTGTGCCTGCGTGTGTGGTTGTGTATTCGCCTGTGTGCCTGGGTGTGCCTCTGTTGTGCTGCTTCTTCTCAGGTCCTACCTTTTCGCTTGACAGCCCCGCTTGTTTTGCACCCATGACTAATGCAACCACCTGCCGTTCTGCTTCATCCACTCCGCCACCGCCAGGCTGTCATCTTCTGCAACACGCGCCGCAAGGTCGACTGGCTCACTGAGAAGATGAAGGAGGCAAACTTCACCGTCTCCTCCATGCACGGTACGTTGTTACCGCCCACTGTCATCAGCGCTGTCATCATCGCTGTTGTCATTGGCATGCGCATTGCAGTCGTCGTCGTGATGGTGATGGTGATCGTGTTGGTTGCCCGTGGGCTGGCGCATGTGCGCTGCAATGACGGTGGTTGTGCTGGGCCGGTGGTTGTCGCCGCAGGCCTTCCTTCCGCTCGCATCAGCACCACCTACCACCGCGACCACCCACCGCCTCCCCCCACCCACCATCACCACCTACCACCGCGAACCCACCCACCGCCTCCCCCCACCCACCATCACCACCTACCACCGCGAACCCACCCACCATCACCACCACCACCATCATTGCTGGCTGCAGGCGACATGCCGCAGAAGAAGCGCAATGAGATTATGCAGGAGTTCCGGTCCGGCGCCACCCGCGTCCTCATCACCACCGACGTCTGGGCCCGCGGCCTCGATGTCCAGCAGGTCAGTTGCTGCTGATGTGGACGGATGGCTGGTCGGTTGATGGATGCTGGATTGATGGATGGTGGTTGGTGGTGTGGATGGCCGTTGATGCGTGGTCGATAATGATGGCGGTGGTGCTGGATGGTGGCGATCGTGGAGCCCGTCTTGCTTCGTCCGTGGATTGTGGACGCACGGCGCCTTTTCTGACATGTGCACGTGATGGACTTTTGGTTTTCCACTTCAGGTGTCGCTCGTCATCAACTACGACCTCCCCAACAACCGCGAGCTCTACATTCACCGGTACGAACACGCACACACGCACACGCACACGCACACACACACACACACACACACACACACACACACACACACACACACACACACACACGATGACTGCGAATACGTTCTCCTTGGGTCGATGTCTAACCGGCCGGAGCCCGTACCGAATGAGCTTATTCCCTGTGCTAGACCTCGCAGCTCGGGCCGCCTGGTACCCACACGCATTCTGTTTCCCGGTTTGCGCGTGTATTCCACCATAGGTCTAGCTCCGTGACAATAATTCAAGCACGGTCTGGCACGCTCTAGAAGAACTCCTTTTCCCAGATACTCTACCTCTTCCTCGTGAGCTGGATTGAGTCCACCCGAGCATTTACGGCCAATGAGCTGTGAAGCCATGGAGGTCGCACGCCTATTGCGCAACCTGGTCACCGTCAGGATACATCTTTACACGCGCTAAACCGTCTTTCTGCAGCCCACGCCTTTCAGCATGGCGTACGCCAGCGTTTTACCCAAACCTTCGCTTTGTCAAGAGTGGGGCGTGAATACATACCGCACTTGATAAGATAGCCCAACATCGTCGAGACTGCGACGCCACAATCCAGCCGATATATAGTCCCGAGTGTCGACGTTTACCCTCAACATCTGGAACAGAGCCACTGAGGATTGGAGGCTCGGACGAGTGGCTAGATAACGCACTGGCCTAGGGGTCGCAATCTTTTGAATGCTAAGGCTCGCTAAGCGTCTTTGGGGCGGACTACTGTACAGGATGGACGGACCGTTAAGGCTCCAATTCATTGTGCGTGACGCGAACCCTTGGCTGCGCGGCGAAACGTGTGCGCGCGCGCGCGCGGTGTGTGTGTGTGTGTGTGTGTGTGTGTGTGTGTGTGTGTGTGTGTGTGTGTGTGTGTGTGTGTGTGTGTGCTTTTACAGCTGCCGCTTCTGCTGTCACATCCACGCTCCTTTGCTTTTCGCTGACCCTCACCTTTATCCCTCAACCCCCCCCCCGGTCAACTCAATGCAGTTGCTGAGCTCATCTGAGGCCACAACTGCGCCGCTCCGTTGGTGTCGTTGTTCGTACGTGTGTGAATCTCTGTGTCTGTGTGTGTGTGTGTGCGTGTTCCGTGTTGAGGTGTGACTGTGCGCTTGTGGTTTGACTTTGTGTGTTTTGTGTACTGTAGTACTGTTCACGTCGCCCTTATTCGACTGTTCGTCCCCGCGCAAACTGCTGGGTCGTGTGTTGTTGCTGCTTCAAATGTTGTCGTCGTGAGGCCACTGTGGATGACAAACGTGTTCTGTTATGCAGTGTAAATCTTTGTCAGCCCACGCCACGCCGTCACATCATCGAACCACCCGCATTAGCCGCCAACGACAAGCATGGGTGTCAGATAGCTTTGTCTGAGTGTGTTGCTTACGTCAAGCAGCGAAACTAAGAGGGGAAAGAAGAAGCAAAAAGAGGAAGAAGAGGAAGGGTGGCAACGATAACCATGCTGGCGTGTGCACGGTGGCCTGTCGCTCACTGCGAGAACAATGCCACCACATTGCACACACATACACACACACACACACACACACACACACATATACATTCTCACGCCCCGCGACTCGTTCTTGTCAACATCACCACCACAACAATCCTCAAACAAGCAACAAGCTGAACATTCAAGCAAGTGAACACGTTGACACACACACACACACACACACACACACACACACACACACACACACACACACACACACACACACACACACACACACGAAGCGACAACAGCACGGCGCCCTAGACTGATGATGACGACTGTATTGGGTCCTCGTCCATTGTCAACGATCCGTTTGACTTTGGCGACTCGTCGGCATTGTGGCGCAGCGGCACCGTCTCGTCCACCGCCTCAGACTGCAGCCGCTTCCGCCTAGTATGGTGTGTGTGTGTGTGTGTGTGTGTGTGTGTGTGTGTGTGTGTGTGTGTGTGTGTGTGTGTGTGTGTGTGTGTGTGTGTGTGAGCATGAAGGTATGGCGGCAGCAACAACAAACAGGTCAAACCAGGATTCGTATCCACGCATGGCATTGACGCTCACCGCTCCTCGAGCTTCTGCTTGATGAGCAGCGTCTGCTTTGGGCCGAGCTCGTAATAGCGCGTGAACAGCTGCGGACACACATGTGCACAAACAGATACGGTGAGGTGCGCAACTTGTCAAGGCAGAGCAAAAACGAGGTGTTCATGATGCACACACACACTCACACACACACACACACACACACTCTCTCTCTCTCTCTCTCTCTCTCTCTCTCTCTCTCTCACACACATACTCACTCGCTCACTCACTAGACAAATACACACACGCACGCGCACGCCTGACTGGCTGACCAAGCTGAGGAAGAGGAGAATGGTGGGCACCACAGACACCAGATACTTGAGCGTCTCGCGCACGGTCGGCGGTTGCGGCTGTGTGTGTGTGTGTGTGTGTGATGATGATGATGATGATGGTGGTGATGATGATGATGACGATGATGAATGTTGCAACGCGAGAATGTGAGCGACGGAGGGACGCATGCGACGTATGCATTGTGCATGTGTGTGCATTGTGCATGTGCTTGTACATTGTGTGTGTGTGTGTGTGTGCATTGTGTTGGCAGCGCTGCAAGTGCATTTCATTACCACGCCGCAGCACGGCTTCGTCTTGTAATCGGCAAAGTTGAGGGCGAGGGTCGACAGCGAAATGGCAATGCCCTGGAAGAAGAGGGGGTGGTGAAGGCGGCGGTGGAATGGTGTCAGAGATGGTGACGTTGTGGAAACAAACGACCGTAACAAACAGGAGTAAAACACACACATGCACACACACACATATGCAACACGCACGCACGCACACACACACACACACAAACATATACACACATGCAACACACATGCAACACACACACACAAACATATACACACACACAAACATATACACACATGCAACAACACGGCCAAATCGTGATGATTGCAGGACTCACCGAACCAAACTTCTGGAAGAAGACGAAGAACGAGTAGTAGACGGAGTCCTTGCGTGTACCGTAACGCCACTCTGCCTCATCTGAAGCGAAACACCGATGATGACGGAAGGGGGGGAGTGATGTGATGGTGTGCGTGAGTGGCAGGTTGTTTCACACAAGGGGTTGCCGTGTGACGACTGCTGGAATAAAGCAGGCCACACGGCGGTGGATTGGCGCGAGTGCAGGTGCATGACCACAATCACACGTGTTCGCACCAATGACATCGGGAAGCATTGCCCACGGGATGAGATAGACAGCGCCCAGCCCAATCGACGCTGCAGTTAAGCGTCGCAGTCACAGTGGTCGTTGTTGGTCGTTGGTGGTTGTGGTCGTGGTCGTGGTCGTGGTCAAAGTCGTGGGGGGCACAGTGAGGATAGCGTTTGCGACAAGTGTTCGGAGAGTTACGCGCGCGCACGTGCACACACACACACCTACACACACACACACACACACACGCACGCACACACCATGCGCACACCTGTGAAGATTCCGAGGTGAATGACCCAGGGTTGGGTGTCGCTTGGAAGAAAGAAGTTGGCCATTGTCCACGGAACCTGAATCTGCGCATCGTGATATTGTGGTGGTGGTGGTTGTGGTGGTTATGGTGGTGACGTTGATGAATGCAGACACAGGGCAGGGCGGTTAGTGCTGATGCTGCTCGGGCCGGTGTAGGTTCATGCACACATAGCACTGAGAAGGTTACGCAACAACAACACACAAGCACGCGCATCCACACATGAACCAACGCCCAGCAACACGTACGCACCACGAGGCCGAGTGCAAAGCTGAGGGGCTTGCCGATCTTGTTCATCACTTTGAACCAGAGCGGAAGCGTCGCCGTCGTCGTGCACAGCAGCGTAATCTGTTGAACACACACGCACACACAGATGTACGTAGAACGTGTACACGAATGATTATGAGGCTCATACGAGGTAGGTATGTGTGGATATGTGGATATGTGTGTGCAGTAATTGCCGTGACGATGGTGATGACAACAGCAGCAAGTTGAGCGCACCAGGAAGTATTGGAAATCGCCTGCGAGCCCAAACCCGTGATTCAACCAGAGAATGAAGTTCGTCTGAAGCAACCAATGACGAGATGCAAGCGCAGATTTCGAATGAGTACGCGCGTGTGTGTGTGTGTGTGTGTGTGTGTGTGTGTGTGTGTGTGTGTGTGTGTGTGTGTGTACGTGTGTGTACGTGTGTGTGTGTGTGTGTGTGTGTTGACGCTCGACACATTCATCACCGCCGATTGCGCGACTGCATCACCACGGTTGAGAGCAGACCTGGTTGACGTTGTTGGCCATCCACGCCCACAAAAACATCAGCGTCAACGTCTGCGATGTGTGTGCGTATGTGTGCGTATGCGTATGTGCACAGGGAATGAAGAAGAGACGCAACAGCATAGAAGAGAAGTACATCATCAACTTGATTGAGCGCATACACGTACGCATGCATGTACGCATAGATGTGCGCACCACCACCACCGTCCCCCCCCCCCCCCACACACACACACGCAAAACATCTCGCAGGTAGGCTTTGCTGCGAATCCTACCCTGTATGTCTTGTGCTTGAGAAGCGACTTGAAGGTCTTCCAGAAGGACTGTGGCGGCGGGATTTTGACTTTGCACACACAAACACACACAAATGTAAAAGGGAGGCAGGAGACAGACAGCCACATAGGAACATGCACACATACACATACACACACGTACAATCACAAAAGTCAGTAACCTGTGAGGCCCAACACAGCAAGCGATGCGCCAACAACCCGATTGCCCTCAAACACCACCACCATCACCATCACTACCACTGTCGCCACCATCAACATGTACGTACTTGATTTGTCTTCGGGGACCCCCAACACGAGCACGGCGCCGAGCACAATGCTGACGACCGCAACAAATCCGCCAGATATAAGATACCCGCGCTTCGCCTGCGCAGATGCGGTGACGAGGTGTGTGTGTGTGTGTGTGTGTGTGTGTGTGTGTGTGTGTGTGTGTGTGTGTGTGTGTGTGTGTGTGTGTGTGTGTGTGTGTGTGTGTGTCGCG